ATAGATCTCGGTATGTGTAATTTTTAATCCAATTAAATAATCGATCTGTTTAATGATATAAGTATATAACTAATAACAATACACACGATTAACGTAAAATAAATAATATTAATTAAAAATTATAATATGATTATTTAGCATATTTACCTAATGAACTTTGTAAATATAACTTCCTGTTTACGTATATAGTTACAGTATTTGTTCTATATATTATGATAAAATAAATTTCAGTTGATATTATATAATTTTACAAATTCACAATCACCACAGAAATACATAAAACGATAGATTCGAATGCCTAAAGAATAGAGCTGATTTTATCACTGTTTTGTGTAATATTATTCATTGGATAAGAAGCATATATCGGTCGTGATAAAATAAATAAATAAATATTACGATTTATGACTATATATTAGGTGGTATTGGTAGTAAGACTTGAAATCCGTTGCATCGCAATTTCTCTTAATCTGTTCTTYTGCACTTTGCCCGTTGCCGTCATCGGGAACCCATCCTTTTCAATGAATATGTATTTAGGTATTTTAAAATGGGAGATCTGAAAATAAAAACAAATTACAAAAACAAAAACGTAATGAAGTATACCTCTGTGGAATGTGGTTCTATCAAATAAAAAACAAGCCACAACCCAAAAACAAACCTTTCCTTTGCTATACGCTTTTATGTCAGCTTCGGTAATTGTAACCCCTTCTTTGACGATGACGCTGGCACACACTTCTTCACCCATCCGATGGTCAGGTATACCGTATACCTGTAATAAACAGTGATTATTCGCATATCTTGTGCGTGTAAAATATGTATTAGAAGAATATTGGAATAATATTAAAAATTTATAAACATWATAATAATAGCCAATAGTACCTATATACAGCAATGGGGTGCGGTTTTTTAGCGTACAATTTTTGAGTWTATACACARCATTTGACGGTAATATATTTCATCGACCATCATATTTTATCGTAAAGAGTATTAAAAATCAAAAACGATAAAATTTTTAAAGGTATACATTATATTATGAAAGTAGGTACCTACCTAGCAATAAGCAGAGCTAAACCTGAAATACACTTTATATTATTATGATTTATAGGTAAGTAGATATTAAAAAATAMATTTATTTATAGTTCACGATTTATTTAAAAAACTGATGAGTTTAAATAAAAATATAAGTTAATTACTAATCTATTAAGATGAAATATTATTATTTTTTAGTTTAATTCTTCACTAAACGTTTTTCTAAAATTGTTTGTATCTCTACGAACATCATATTATAGCTTGTTCGTAATTGGTTCCCATTTTATAATTTATTCATATAGTTAACTAAAAAATTTCCAAAAATTTAACTAATTGTTAAAATATAGATACCTATAAACAAATTAAAATTTAATTCTATAAGTATCCACACAACATTACTAATCAGCATTCTGCTGTTGATTGATGTGAAATAYATTTAATCTGTGTGACATCAGGGCTAACAAATCAAAAATTATTCGAATATATTTTGTGGGATGTGTCGAAATCAGAAGAAAAAATCATGTCAAACGTTTTTCGTTCTAGTAAAGTTACAAATATCATCGAGAATACAAATGATCACTGATCAAATTTTGATATTATACGCGATATACTTCAAGAATAAGTCTCCAGGTTTTCAGGTAAACTAAATAGTAAATACTTATGGTTAGGTTCTTCGTAACCGTAATTMTCCCCTCTACAAAAATACTGATAACAAATCTTTGTAAAAAATACGTTGTTAAATTAGTCAAATTACATTGCATTTATAAAAAAAAAWTTATAATAGAACCTAGGTACTATGGATGACTGATAATTAACGGATTACATACCTAAATAATAATACTCAATTTATGGAATTTTTATTTTCCCAACTCGTAGTAAATATAATAAGTAGATATATGCATGTATAATTACTTGAACTTGTAAAATCGACGGATGAGATTCCAAAAAGTATTCTATTTCTTTGGGAAATAAGTTTTCACCACCACGGATGATCATTTCTTTTAATCTACCAACGTGATTGGCATATCCATCTTCGTACAAAACGAATTGATCTCTATACAATTATAAATAAAGCCTTAAACAATATAAACAATTTAGTATTTTATCACACTAACACACAGGCGTGGACTGGTAAAAAAGGGCTGACAAAAATGTTTGGGTCAAATTTAATATATATAGATGATGTATAATATGTATATTGAAAATACGTAAAAATCGTAAATATGTACCAAATCACAACAAATATTCAAACAAAATTGTTCAATATTAGATTAAAAACAAATTAGATCAAATATATTTTAG